TTGCAGGGAGCAACAATATCGAAGAATAAAGAGTGTGTCTGGTTTCTGGATAAGTGCGTATGTTGGCTTTGTATTGCTGCTTCCTTACTATGGCCCAATTCTGATTTGCGCGGAATCCGCTACGACAACGACATCCTCTGACAATGACACTTTCAATGCTCCGCTAGAAGAGTTGTTGGCAGATCACAGAATCACCATGGTTGTTCCATTCAACACATGAAGATTCAGTGTGGTCGTCAGACTCAAGTAAATTCAATTATATAAAGCACCTCAATGGATTCTAACATCTTTGCTTCACGTATATTTGGTCCTTCCCTACCATCCCTGGCGCAGCCCCAGATTGGGCCTTGAAAGCGCTCGCCTTGCCTCCGGCCACTCAAACGCTAAACCAGCGGGACAATGCGCTTCAGGGTTCACCAGAATGCAATTGCAAACGTTAGCGGGACGTCCTTTGTGCTCCTACTGTCAGTGAAAAGGACGGACGCACCAACATTTGAAAGTTGCTTTCGATCGCGTGCCAGAATTCATTCCCAGCATGATGTTGATGTCGGAGAGGGTGTTGAAGGGTTCCAAGTTCTGTTGTTCATTCACATGCCGAGTCGACAGCTGCCTCCTTTTCAAGTCGGTCTCGACCATGAGGCCATCAGGGCAGCAAGCGAGGTTTTTGCATTTTGCATGCCAACATCTTTTGAAGCTACCTAGAACAAACATGTGCTTGAGTTACAGCCTGTTTATGTAGTGTCTGTTTCAGCAAATGTGTGTGTGTGTATGTGTCCAGCTTCAAGCTAAGGGGCATCACGGCACTTTATCAGCCCTTTGCAAAGGACCTGCCTCCGAACATAGAGCAATTGAAGCCTGTTGCCAACAAACAATTGACAATGGACAGCAAGCGGGCCGCTGCTGTTTGGAGGTTTAATGCAAGGCTGCTGGGCAAAGCGCAGTAGCAGCTCGTAGGTCCTATTATTACAAACATCCATCTGAAACATACTGCAACATGCGTCTAATGTAACGCTTAGTGGTACCTGCACCAGAACAACTAGTCCCCAATAGTCAATTTCTGGAACCCATCTCATCCAGGCGGTCCGAGATTACTGAAAACAAAACATGTTTATATAATATATATATATTGTTGTATATCCATGATCTGAAACGCTGATGGGATTTTCTTTTGCCCCAAGAGGATTTGTTTATTTTATTGGATAAAGCCGTTGGGCCGTCAGGTGGCAACAAGGGTTGAGAAGAGCAAGGATGAGAAGCCTGTACAAGTTGACTCAGCACTCACACGGCCAGGATGTTTGACTTCAGATGGATTGATGGCTTCGAGAAATGAACTGTCAAACGGCCTTCATCTCAAGGTTCTTTTTCCATCGGCCTAGCACCGTAGGAACCACTGCACAATCGAACTGGCAACTCCACTCAGTTGGACCTGTGCTCACACAGCTACAAAGCATTGGCGGGCGTGCAGGAAAAGGCTACATTGGGCAAACGGACTATGGCCCATGCATCAGTACAAGCATTGCACCCCAATGTGCGACATACATTAGGGTGGAGCCCATCGCTACTATGTGCACGTCCAACAAACCAAGCCGAGTCCCCGTCGAGTGTTTGAAATAGTCTTCAAGGTGCATACAGTCCAATGGCCGTGCCACAATGGTTTCCTCGATCCAACTGACTAGGGTGTACCTAAACTGCTTGCAAAATACGTCCGAGCCATTCAAGCCATTATGCCATTCCACAGTGGCTACTGCGCGCTTACCGGACCAAGTGTTTTCTGTGATTTCGCCAATTCCGAACCACTTCCAAATGCACATAAATGCTTGTACATAGTCCAGTCTGCGTCAACAGCCAATGGACATGGATTGCAAGCTGATGGGCAGGGCTGCGGGTCAAGGGCGGCGGTCCATAAAATACCCCACCTCAAGAAGCTCGGAAAGCTGCAGTATGCATTAAGCATCAACTCTCAAAAAGGTTCAATGAACATGACAAAGCATGCTGTGATGCGTGTCCAGCTTGGTCTGGCAAAAACAATCAGAGCTAGTAGATTGTAATGTCCATATGCACAAGTGCGATGATGAAAAGAGAGGAAACAAGCATTGATTGACACATTATTTGATCTTTCCTCGTAAGAAAAAATTGGATAACTCCCAAGCTGCAAACACACAGCTATTGTAGATATGTAGCGGTACGGTTTTGGTCGGGAGGCCATTGACTCTAGCACTGCATCACTTCTAGTATCTTCTAGTACTACCACCACTACTACGATTACCACTACGACTACAACCACCACAACGACTACTACTACCAATACGACTATTTCCACTACTAC